GCTGGTGTAAAGTGCTGCATTATTTGCTTGCACAGCAGTTTCCGTTATTACAGTAGATGGTATTGTGCGAGCAGTCGATACCATTGTAGTTGTTGTAATAGTTGCCGTTACCGTTGCTAATGACGTCACTGTACTGGTGACCGTGGCTGTGCAGGTAGGCATGAGGGAAGGGTATGGGGTTGTTCAAGCATTGAACACTATTTTTTATAGAAATTCTTAAGTTAGAGTTTCAAGGGATCGGACCCATGAAATACGAGTCAAACAGATGGTTTATAACCGATCCCTTGCAGCCTAACACAAACACATACATAAGTGGTGCGCTTATCGCACTTGAGAAAGGGTCACATAGCAGGTCAGCGTGCAGTGCGTTGACAAGTAGTTTTACATAGATTTAAGATTCTCATGTATCGTACTTATAAGAGAACTTTGACGAATAAAATCAGTTTCCATAAGGAGCTCATTGGAGTAAGACCTATTTATTTAGGGCTCCTCTTAACAGGGGTTTTATCCAACGAAAGCACAGGCGAGCAAGAACGCGCCCTGCCTTGCGATGTTGGATTAAGTTCATTACTCGGGCTTGGGGTTATTGATCGCTGTTGGTTATTTTTTGTTGGGTTTGCGGTCGCGTTTTCTTGCGTTGACAAGAATGAGTGGTATGCGTTTTTACGTAGCAAAGAGAGTCGACGCTCGTCTTGCTGACGTTGGAGCACCGTATGAGTGTCGAATTCACTCATAGCTTAATGTTTTTGATTTTCTCATTTTTATTTACACAAAAAGTACGAAGTTCATCGAACTAAGCGTCTTTTCGCCCACTGTGTATTTTTGTTTAGACCTTGCACTGCACTATGCTTTGTTATACCATTGCAGAGGGTATTATAATTTTGGCCAAAAGTGTGCAACGCAGTGAAGGAGACATCTCCGACACTATAATGTACACATATTCTTGATCAGGATCACCTCCTGAGTTGATACGAGCATGTCCGTCTGTCCGTCTGTCTGTCTGTCCGTCTGTCTGTTTCTACGCAAACTAGTTTCTCAGTTTTAAAGCTATCGTCTTGAAACTTTGCACACACCCTTCTTTCCGACTACACATAAGTCGAAACGACCGGGATAGGCCGACTTTATCCTATAGCTGCCATATACCTGATTGATCGGAAATGGTATAACATCGGTGTGTTTAGAGTTAGAGAATTTAAATTTAACATGAAAGCTATGCAGAGCTTACATGCAGGTAAAACCGGATATATATCGCAAACATCGGATATCGTTGGCCGATCCTTATGGGAATATGAAGATATAATCCATTTTATTACAATACAAAATCTAAAAAAGTCCCAAACTTCTATCTTCAAAAGTACCAAAGTTGGTATTTCTACCAAAAACCATTTCCGATCGTTCAGTTATATGGCAGCTATAAAATATAGTCAGCCGATTGTTATAAAATTTGATAGGTCGGATCAACTGACCAAAAATAGAATCTGTACTATGTTTCAGCTTTTTATCTTCAAAAACACGAAAGTTGGATCATATCCGATCGTTCAGTTATATAGCAGCTATAGGATATAGTCGGTCGATCCTTATGAAATTTGGAGAGTTTAAATTTTAAACGAGAGCAAATTTTGGCAAACTTATTCGACATGCCAAATTTCATAAAGATCGGTCGGCTATATCCTATAGCTGCCATATAACTGAGCGATTGGAAATGGTTTTTGGTAGAAATACCAACTTTGGTAGTTTTGAAGATAGAAGCTTGGGACTTTTTGTTAGATATTTTATTGAAATTAATTCGTTTTATTATGATATTCTTATAAGGACCGGCCAACTATATCCGGTGTTTACGATATATATCCGGTTTTAACTGCAAGGGTATATCAACTTCGGCTCCGCCCGAAGTTAGCTTTCCTTTCTTGTTGATTTATAAAATTAAGAACATCCCAAAAAGGGTAATAATTAATTATAAAAAACAAAAGGTTATTAATCCCGAAGAAGAAACTAAAAGTTCAGAAAATAAAGAACATGACCTACAGTTATATCCCAAACTAACCGCCTGAGGACAGGCTAAATTCTTAAGGATGGGGAAGTAACATATCAACAAAATTTCTTTAAGTGTATATCAGTAAATTTTGTAAACCGAAGCTGAAGCCTTTTGTATTGAAATTCGTAATCCAGCTGCAAATAGACTCATTCCAATTTTTGTAAAAACATAAACAATTAATTATTCCAATTCGGCTGAAAACAGTCTCATTTCAGATTTCCAATTTCTAAGAGTCACTTTAGATTGAAAACCAAAACAATATTTGGGTTAACAGGAATCCCGACTCAAATCTTTCACACTCCTTTTAAGTTAATTAAACTAAACAGCTCAAACCATTCTTAAATGGAAACCCACTTCACAGGAAATTTCACATTTTCTTGTCACCTCCATTAATTGACACCAAAAGCCATGTCAACTGACACCTTAAGTAAAAGGTTCCGACTCAATCTATTCTCTTCAGAAAACAAAGCCTCTCAGAGAGAAAAGCTTCTTTCGAGCTTTGATCTGCAAAAAGCTTCAGCAAGGGTAGCTATAACAATAAAGGAAAGCTATTTTCGGGCGGAGCCGAAGTGGATACACCCTTGCGTTTGAAAGCGGATATATATCGCAAACATCGGATAAAAGTTGCCGGTCCTTATGAGAATATCATCATAAAACCAATTAATTACAATAAAATATATAAAAAAAAATGTCCCAAGCTTCTATCTTCAAAAATATCAAAGTTGGTATTTCTACCAAAAACCATTTCCGATCATTCAGTTATATGTCAGCTTTGAGATATAGTCGACCGATCGTTCCAAGTTCCAGGAGCTGATCCTGATCAAGAATATATATACTTTATAGGGTCGGAGAATTCTCCTTCACTGCGTTGCACACTTTTTGGACAAAAATTATAATACCCTCTGCAAAGGTATGAAAAGGACTTAGGGCCCCAAAGATAAGTTGGTTCTGAAATTCTAACATTCTAAGCAGTTGTTCTGAAATTCTAAGCAGTTTTAAAGAATCACACTGTATCAAAACCGGAACTCAAATAAAAATATATTTTTTCAAACACATAGTGCGACAGTGATTTGGAACTTTTGAAGAGACCTAGTAGGAATTGTTCTTTAGGTCGAATATAGTATAAAACCGTATTTGAAATTTTTCTAACACCCTCAAAATCTTGATTTATTTAGAAAAAACGGTTTTTCGGGACTTTTTTGCTCTTAAAGATTCCTAAGAGCGTTATTTTAAACCGATTTAAAAATTGTAGCTTTTGAAAAAAAAAAAATAGATCTTTAATATATTTCAACAAAAAAGATAAAATTTTTACGTTGGAAGTTGGAACTTCGTACATATTCTATTTTTGGACAGTTGATCCAAACTACCAAATTTTAAAACGATCAACTAACTTTATCTTATAGTTGCCAAATAACTGAACGATCGGAAATGGTATTTGATAAAAATACCAATACCGTGATCGGTCGACTATACCCTATAGCTGCCATATAACTGAATAACCGGAAATGCTGTAACTTTGTTGTTTTTAGAGTTAGAGAGGATTTTGAATAAGTGCTATATTTGAAAAAATAATACGACCCATCAAATTTCATAAGGATCGGCCAACTATATATTCTGTAGGTGCCATATAACTGAACAATCGGAAATGACCCAACTTTCGTAATTTTGAAGATAGAAAGGTGAAACTTCGTTCAGATTCTATTTTTAGTTAGTCTTTCCGAAGAACCCCCGCCAGGATGCGAAGAAGCAGGACCAGGGTACCAGGGTAGGGTCAAGGTGATAGCCTGCCAAGACGCGCGATCTGTGGAGATGTACAAGCGAATGATAGTATCGCTTGGAGAGATCTACCCCGGAGCAAAACTAGTGGCGGTTGACTGGGCGGAGACGCCAAGTAAACCGAGACGCGAGTATGGCTAACAGAAAAGTCGGCCGACCCTAACACCATCCTGGCGATGCTGAGGATGTGCAACGGCGGACTGGAGAGTCGCTAAGGTAGAAGTGGCGGTAGGACTGCGAAGGCAGATTGTTTTCACTATGAACGAGGAGGCCGTGAAGATCCTGGAAGAATCGGAGCACCGGATCAAATACACATTCGAGCACGTATCGGTCCGTTTTTACAAGCCCGATGCCAAGAGCAAAGCACGAGCCAAGGAACTGGAGGCAGACTTGGAGGTGCCGATCAAAGAGGGGCACTAGGAAGGAATATTGGATGAAGAAGAGGATATCCTGGAAGGGTACACTTCAGAGGAGAGAGACTTGGCAAGGGCAGAGAATACTGTGATGGAGAATCTCAAAAATGTCTTTGACAATCTCTTAAATCCTAAAAATCCCTGGCATACCTCTTCAGTAGTAGGTATCTCAGTTGGGCGATAAACAGCTTCAAGCCTTTTAAATCTTCAAGCCCAGATGACATTATCCCTGCACAATTAATCAAAGCCGGATCCAATCTGAGGTCATGGCTTAGGATAGTACTCCTAGTAAGGGTAGTACTCCATGGGACCTCTCCACCCTTGAGGGACCTCTTGCCTGTGCGGTATCAGATGGAGCTCCAGAGGCTCAAGTGGATGAGGGGGTTCAGAGACTGGCACCACATCGCCGCCTCAACCGCCTAACCTAGTTGATCTAACCTACTAAATTTCATAACGATCGGCAAGCTATATCTTATAGGTGCCATATAACTAAACGATCGGAAATGGTATTTGGTAAAAATACCAACTTTGGTTATTTTAAAGATCGAAGCTTGGGACTTTTTTTTAGATTTATAGTCATAAATTGGTTATATAATAATATTCTCATAAGGATTGATGAATTATATCCGATGTTTTCGGATTTAACTGCAAGGGAATATCAACTTTGGCTCCGGCCGAAGTAAGCTTTCGTTTCTGGTTTTTATTTAAAATCTACTTATAACTTTAAAATTAGGGTACAAATTTTCCATAACAATAAACCAAAATTTTTAACTTACACGAGATTGAAGTTTTTGTATGGGAAATCCTTCGAAATAAAATGTTTCATTCCACCGTGGATTTAGTGTTCTTCTTTTAATTTTAGTTTCCAATCTATGCTTTTTATCTGGCAGTAAAGTGACTCGAACGTACGGATCGGAAGTTCCACTCAAATCTTTTGCTGGAAGTTCTTTTCCTTGTAGAACTTTTAATATTAAAGTTGTATTTTGAAAATCATATTCCAAAGAAAAATGAATTTGTCCAACATTTTCACTTGAATCCGTACTGTCAAGATACATATCCGTCAAGGAGATACTCTTGTTCTGAAATTAAAGTAGCAATTTAACTATTGTATTTTTTTAATAAAGTAAAAAGGATTTTATTAGAAACAAGAAGAACACGATAGCTTTTACCCCAATCGATAGCTCCTTCTTATAGAATAAATTTCTTTTTTCCACATTAGACTGTGTTAATGCAAATAATACGCGAATAACTCAATGAATATCTTTATAAAATTTGAAAAGATGCTTACTAAACCATTTTGCAGAGGTAATTATAATTTTGGTTAAACGCGTCTAACGAAGTGAACGACACATCTGCGACCTTATAAAGTATATATCGACTCATTTCCGAAAAAGGGTTTCCGACACTCCTAAGTCCCGTAAGCCTTTCACGTAAATCGAGCGCTATAATCTTTATTGACATATAAAATAAAAATTATACATTCAACCATGATACAATTATATAAGGTAGTCCATTCCACTGGCATATCGTTCGGGTTTGGTCCCTTAATTTTAAACTGTCAAACTGAAAGGTGATTTTTTTTTCAAAACTTTAACCTTTTATTGGCCAAGCAAAAAAAATGACTGTGACGCTTACTATGTTAAAATTAAAATAAGGGACTTAAGTCAACGAATGGACTACCTCATATAATTGTATCATGCGTTCAACACCAAATAAGTTCCCTTTTTAGTGTTGGGAAACTACATACATTCGAAATAACATTATACAGGCTTAATACCAAATTTATATGGGAACATATCTTTGTTACTTTCCCCATCTCGCAATTCTTCCTAGTATCTACGCCGAGAATTACCAACTCTCATGATGTCCAATTTATCCAACTTTACCGCAGGGCACTCCGTCCTTGGTACGATGAACATCTAGGGATTTATCGTACTTCTTATGGCGATTCAGCTTAATAGTTTCATCCATGACAAGAATTAGATCGCATTTGCAAGCAAAGTTCGTCCTTCTTGTTAGTGTGGATAGATATTCCTGGATCCATATTTTCCAATATCGATCTGCAAATGGCCCAGCGATTTAAAACTGCTTTGCTCATTCATGTCCGGTGCCTTCCATTATCCCGCGTTTACGCAGTCGACTTGAGTTTCCAATTAATAAATAATTCGATGTAAAGGCCGTGATTCCAAGGGAATATACGTCAACGATCTTGAATTCAACGTACATCAGAAAATGACACGCATAATATACAAAAAAAATTTCGTGATAGCATAAGGTACATAACTTGGTAGTGACATGGAAATATATAAATCTATTAAAATTTCGTCTTTGAATAATCAAATGAAATGAATGAATGATGATCTCGACACTGTTTTTTAGTCCGAGTGTTCTTTTTATTTCAGGTCGAGGTTAATTAACGTTAATTTTGAATTCCGTCTGTACCATATCGTTGTGACATAGCATTGGTTGGTTGCAGCGGTTCCGATCTGCGACGGCCATCTTGACTTGTCCTGCAGTGAAATTTCAGGACCAGTAAGCTATCTTATTAAGCTGATCATCTTCCATATGGACCATTGCCACGTTATGCTCCAAAAATATCCAACGCTAATCGACAATCTCCGGTTTTTCCAGGATTTCTCTAACTCGAAGGCTCGAAGTAACTTAAGTTACTTCCGAACATCCGACTTTATCCAAAACAGAACGACTTGAGAACCGAGTCCAAAATATGCGTCTTTCCAAACATTTTTTAAAGACACAGGCCCATAATGGCTATCATTAAATTCATTTATGGTATTCTTTCTTAGAAACCGATATTGGAGCATCTATGGAGCATTTGAGTTTATATAAGCATGTCCGTCTGTCTGATTTTACGCAAACCAATCTCTCAGTTTTGAAGCTATTGTCTTGAAACTCGCATTCACCCTTCTTTCCTTCGCACGCAGTATAAAAGTCGGAAAAGACGGGATCGGCCGACTATATCCTATAGATGCCATATAGCTGATTAATCGGTAATGCTGCAACTTTGTTGTTTTTTGAGTAAGAGAGGCACGAATTTAGCAAATTTCATAAGGATCGGCCGGCTATATCTAATAGCTGCCATATAACTGAACGATCGGAAATGACCCAACTTTCGTGTTTTTGAAGATGGAAAGCTGGAACTTACTACAGATAATATTTTTGGTCTGTTAATCCGACCTACCGAATTTCATAACGATCGGCCGACTATATCTTATAGTTGATATCGGAAAAGGTATTTGGTTAAACATACCAACTCTTGTATTTTTGAAGATGCTTGGGACTTTTTTTTTAGATATTTTATTTTAATTAATTGGTTTTATTATGATATTCTCATAAGGATCAGCCAACTATATCCGATGTTTGCGATATATTTCCGGTTTTAACTGCAAGGGTATATCAACTTCGGCTCCGCCCGAAGTTAGCTTTCCTTTCTTGTTTATTCTAATGTTCAGTTTAAGAGAATAACCGAAAAAATTGTTGACAATCTTTCTCTCTAAGAGCAGGTGACTTACTTTCTTTTGATTTTGGTTTTCGGTTGAGTGTTTAACGTTGAGAGATTCGTAGAATGCTCGCATGCTGAACATCGCTCACTGATAGATATGATTGACGTTCGCTTAGAGACTTTTTTTCGCTTTTTTTTTTTAAATCTTTTTTTTTCTTTTTAAATATTATTTAATTATTTAAAGCCTAGCAACTAATAAAAAGGTAAGGTTTTGGGTATTTATTGAACTCGATCGTGCGCTTAGAATAAAGGTAAGAATGCTCCCTCAACAGATACTTGAGTAGCCCGAATGGCCAAGTCTACATGTGCAAACGCAGTCAAGTTTGGCGTTTTTAGCATTACATTGCTAAAGAAAATAGTCGTTTAATGATAAATGACGATACATTTTGTCAAAGTTATAATTTTGTTTATTTCAAGTCTCATTTTTGTTTTAATTATTTTCTCTGAATATCCAAATGTCACAAAGGCAAATGAAACAAGACCCACTAACTTTCACATACACACATACATGCACAAATGACTTTTTGAATCGTCTCACAAAATCAAACGGCCCTGGAAAGAACAGAACAAATGGGATCAGAAAATATTGCCCCACATTTGAGAGAGAGCAAAATTTGTATACCAACAAAGCAAACGGTTCCTCTCCGACTTTTCGAACAAAGACTCATTGAGCAACACTTATTTATGATTTATTACAATAAAAAATCAAAAAAAGAAAGAAAAGCTAACTTCGGGCGGAGTCGAAGTTGATATACCCTTGCACATAAAACCGGAAACATCGGATATAGTTGGTCGATCCTTATGAGTCACATTATAACCAAAGCTAAAACAAAGTCCCTATAGCTGCCATATAACTGAACGATTGGAAATAGTATTTGGTGAAAATACCACCTTTTGTATTTTTAAAGATAGAAGCTTGAGGCTTTTTTTTAAGATTTTGTATTGTAATAAATTCGTTTTATTATTATATTCTCATAATGATCGGCCCACTAAATCCGATTTTTGCGATTTATATCCGGTTTTAATTGCAAGGGTATACCTTTCTTATTGTTTATTTAATTATTAAGAATGAGTTTTATAATGTTCCTAACAGTTGGATTTCCAACTAGAAACTGATTTTAATTTTTCAATATTCTTATAACTATAGCTTTGCTCAGTGACTGCGACGCTAGCAGCGGAAATTAACTTTAGTTTTATAATTTTGATTGGTCGGAATTTTATTCTGACATGCAGGTTCCCAGGAACCCAGAGTACTTGTTTATTAATTTGAAAACGGGGTTCGTTGTTTATTCCTACTATCGACGATAAAGGCGTGTGAATGGTTTACGTCTATTCTTATGTCTGGATGCCGATGGTAATAGCATGGTTAAGGTTCATTGTCTAACTGATTTGAAGTGGAAAAAAAATGATGTCTCGAGCCTGACTTGAACTTGTTTTTCTCTGCTTATCAGCACTAACCATACAGCAGGCCCCAGAGCGAGTTCTTACTCTGTTTCTTACGCTCATCGTTCGTTCATCTTACGCTCATATTCTCATTAAATGCTTTCTGTTTCTCAGTCTCTGACAGGAGCGTGATGAAGAAGGTTGGTCTGCGCTTGGATTGATATTTGTATGTATGCGTGTCACAGATTCACATACACGGCTGTATGTGTGCGTGCGATTTCGTTTCGAAGCCAGCGAACAAAATTTAGATTTTTCTAACTTTTCAGGCTGTCTGCCCAAACAAAATTCGGGTATTCGTTATTGCGTAAAATTTTAGAAAGCGCCAGTTCGTTAATGTTTTTGGAAAATGTTTTAATGCCAAACTGTTTCAATGGCTAATTTGCACCTACAAATCAAAATGCAGCCAAATCGGACAATTTATAGAGTTATAGACTTTTCAGACTTTTTAGTTTTGTGTTTTTTTTTTTTGTTTTTAAACAGAGCTTTAATTTTTTGAATCTTCTCTTTGCGAGACTAACAAGAGGTGTATTAAAAATTATATTTATAACTAAGATAACAGTCATATTGACTGATACAGAGTTAGACGTCCCTAAAAATCGATTGCTGGGTTGGGAGGTCGTTGCGTCTCAGGCGGGATACGCTAGAAACCCGAGTCAATCCCCGAGCGAGAAAATTTGGGTGCGAAGACAGTTTTTCTTGGTATGACTCTTTTTGCTTCTGGATTTCGCCTTTCACTGCAAGGATGCCCAGATCCCGGTGGATGTTGTTGTTGCGAACATACTAAGGTGCCCCAGTGATAGTTCTCAAGATTTTTGATTGTGCGCGCTGTATGATGTCTATGTTGCTGCAGCTCACGTTCCCCCACAGCTGGGAGCCATACGTACAGATTGGTTTCAGGACTGAACTGTACAGTAGTAACTTGTAGTCCAGGCACAGTGGCGATCGTGAGTTTATGATCCAGTGGAGGCTGCTGGCTTTCAGTTTTAGGTGCATCTTTTTGCATTCGATGTGCTTACGCCAGGTAAGTCGTCTATCAAGGTTAACGCCAAGGTACGTTACTTCGTTAGCTTGTGGGATCTGCATACCGTTTAGTAAAAGCAGGGGGCATGTTTGTCT